GTTATATAGCTTTGTCCTCCAACAAGAGACCAGACAACGAGATGTGGTGCTTAATATATTCTGTGCAGCAGTGCACAGTTGATGACTTCAAGGAGTACTGAATTAGGAATTCAAACCTGGCAAACTTGAAAATGTGACTCTTGCAAAACACTGTCAGGAACCTGTCCCTGCAAAGTGGCCATGTGGAGAACAAGGTATCTGGTTTGTGGCTACTTCTTTCCTAAGATGAACTTTCAAAATAAAACTTCAGCTGACCAGATGAAGGGAGGATTCACTCAGGATGCAGAAGATACAGATGTAGCTCACAGAGCAGAAATGGGCCTTGAATGAAAATATACATGATTATCCTATCTGTAAGTCAATGAATTCAGATAACTTGCTTTTCTCTCACCTCCATATGTTTAACTCTTAACACTAAATTTTGCACAGATCATCATAAACTAATACTTGTTACCAATGAATTTTCAAGTTATAGTCCAAATATTCAGTTGGCACTCAGCTTGTGCTATTGATTTTACAAGGATCAATGATTTTCCTACCATCTAAACATAAGACCCAAAATATCAGCAGTCTTCAGAAATGACAAAGCAGAGCCCACGGAATCATGCATCGTGATACAACAGCTCAGCTGCTGAGATGCTGTGCTAACACCTCCTACCTTACCAACCTGGTATAAGGGCTTCATGAGTCAGTATGTCACAGGCTCCAACAAATGCCATGCAATGACAAGTAATCAGCCTCTGCAATGTCTAGCCAGGTGGCAGGGGCACTTTACACAGCCAGAAACTCCAAAGTGGAGTTCAAGACCATGAGGAAAGATGTAACAGAAACTTGTATCTTGACACAAGCTAGGAAACAAGAGGCACTAAGGTGAGGAGCTCTGCCTCGACTTGCTCTGCCTAACAGCACCTGGCTTAGTTCGTGGCTAAGCCTGACTCACCACCATGTCTCCTTGGCCTCAGACCTGCTTCATCACTTTGCACTTGCCTGGTGAGCAGTGGGCTGCTGGTTACTGTCACCAGATCTGCTCTGCTCACTTTATTTGGGCACTGTGGGACTGTGTGGGTGCTGTCCCTCCCCTGCCTGCCTCCCGTGCAGCCAGGCTTTGCTTCCCTGGCAGGGTAGCCGGCTCTTGCTGCTTCCTGGCACCCAGGATGCAGGTAGAAGGGGCAGGGAGGATGAGGATAGGGACTGAGGTGGGAGAGGAAGGCAGATGCAGAAAAAAAAATATAGCTCTTCAAGTCAATTAAATGCTGAATATTTCAAATAAGGAGAAAACCTAGAAAGTTGATATAAATATTCAAATAGGAAGAGACCACCATTCATTAACTGAAGCAAGAACTACAAAAGTAAAAGTCAGAGACTTCAACTGTGGACATGAGAGTAGGGCTATGTGCTGGTGGGGAGCTGCAAGACTTGTCCACACTGCACGGCCACAGAAAGAGTCTTTCCACTGCAACTGGCATGGGGCAAGGCATTCTTTGATAGTGGAAATGCCCCGCTCTCTTTGGAAGGAAACATAACTCTGTATAGAATAATTTATTAATGCCATTTAAGAAATTGAATCCCAGTTTCATGAGAATTTCATTTATGCTAAATCAATACATGAAGTCAGAATTTCATTTTATTGCTGAATAGAAATTATATTAAGGAAGCAGCACAGAAAAAGGAAACACTTAATGATACTGAAGTGTTCTAATCTTAAAGTGGTTTCAATGACATAATGATACATTAAAAATAATATGTTTAAATATTTCAGAAAAGAGCAATGGTAAAAGGAAACACAGTGCTAAACTTACAACAAGACATTGCTATTCTCAAAATGACATAGTAATGTTAGTCAAATAGGATTAAAATGATTCATTACTTCTATCCTAAAAAAAAAAAAAAAAGGAATAATAAAAATTGACACTTCTTGCCAAATGCCTCCATCTTCCAGTGGTAAATTTCTATCGTCATTTTTTTACCATTTTTCTCTGCAGTTGAAGAACACACACATTGACTTTTATTCCAACACCAGGAGAGCTGGCAAATAACTTTTTAGTAGTCACTGATGCCAGCACCGATTTAGTCTGTGACAAACCAAGCACTCTACACGTGCAGTGTCCTGTACCTCACCTGTAGTTTATTTTTTGCAAATTCATTTTTGAAAACCACTCTTATAAAGCCCATCAGCAACAAAATACAGTGTTGTCTCAGTGCTGCCTTGCCCCACAACAAAGTTAGCACAGGCCCAACACGTTATCTCTGTTTCTTCTATTTTTCTTTTTTTTTTTTTTAAGCCAAGCAGCTGCCAAATCAATAACTCATCGATCTCTGGTTGGGAATGTAATCTCACACTTAAGGCTATGATGACACATGCGCACACACACACATGCTCTCTCACTCTGAACTACTGCTTGGTCTTGGATAGACACAAGCTCTGCAGTGCTGTACAAACAAATGTCATCTCCATTACCTCAGATGGCTCCAGTCACTGAAATGGAGCGCACAGAACAGAGCAGAAGGCATTTGAAGAGTTTCAGTACAGCCTGGCGGGTAAACTCTGCAATACACCCAGTCCACCCCAAGCTCGATGGTGTGCTGACATGTGCGAGCTCTGGGTTTCAGCTAACTGCCAGGCAATCATGAGGTTTCATCTCCAAAACTGAAAAACTGATCCTGAGTGCTAAAATTGGTCCAAAGTAAACTTCCTTTTTATTTTTTCCTCTGTATGCTAAACAGTCCCACTGACGACTAGGTTAGTACTGCCAGCCACAGTGGTGTGCAGCTGCGGGATTCAAGAGACAACCCAGCTGTAAATAGTTACATGCCTATTCTTCTGAAAAAGGTTTAGTATGTAATTTCAAAAATGCAGTAACACTATGCATTGCTGATGCTGACAATCCTGAGTCTGAGGACATATTAATAAAACTCTGTTTTTCACTAAGGTTAAAACAATGAGTCTACTATTTTACTATAATTTGTAGGAAGTATCCTTCTTAAAGATTTTTTTTTTTTTGTCCCTAGAAAGGAGATGTTTTAGGATGAACTTGTTTAGTACTTCTGTAGTCATCATCATCTTTTCATTTGCATTGAAAAGAAAGATTGATTTATAAAGCTTTTGTATAAAACTTTATTTCTACATTGATGTATCTTTAAAATTACTGGATTCTGTTGTTCTTCAGAAGACTTACATTTTTTCTGAAGTAGAGCGGATGCATATAGTGCTTTGTAACTGAAACTTTTCTTCTATTTTGGTTTTCTCTAGTCTAAAACACAGCACACTGGTTCTTGGCAAACAGTTGCTTTATGTATGGAAAAATAGCTGTAGTGCAGCTGTGTAGAGCCCTCTGGGAATTTCAGATATTATTTTAGAGGCAATCTGGAGAATGTACAATGTCAAAAACACTGGGCCTTTACAAAAGCAAGATGCCTTGTTGAAGAGATAAGCATTGCTACTGGAGGGTTTTTCTGAGGAATGCTAAGTAAAGGATATAATTTCCAGCCTAATGAGACACCTGTCTCGAGCCACTATTCTTTCTTACTTTCTTTGCCATCTCACACAAATAAATGGTTTGTGGCGTTAGTATTTTACTTTGTAGCTCCTCCATGGGTTGCAGGCTTGCTATCCAGCTCTGCTTGTGCCTCTCATACAAGATTTAACTTAGGTTTCCTGCTTTTCAGCAAAGCTCAGAACCCACTGCTTTCTTCACTCCTTCAGCAAACTCCCCCTCCCCCCCCAGGTGATGTTCTAACGTAGCAGTGAGGACCAAACTCCTCCCTGTGGCCTTCCCAGCAGCTCGGTTTAGAGCAAGGGGAAGAACACCCTCTAAAATTAAATTAATACTTTAACCAAGTGTGATTGTACATGCAGTTTACGTGGCTTTCTTAAGTATTTTCAATTATGTTTTGTAAGGAGAAATTAGGAATATGAAGTGATAAACGAGGAGCACTGAATCTGTTGAGTGACTGCTCCTTTAATGGCTTCAAGAAAAGAAAAATGAAGTTTCCTTCCTCTGTAATGAGAGGATCGTGAGACTTACCTAGGTTCTCACAGAGTTTTATAAGAATTAAAGGTTGTGGTTTTGCACTGAAACTTGTAAAATTTATGCATGTATGGGATAGCAGAAGATTTTGTGCATTTAGAAGAAAATTATCAGCTTGCAGAGTGTAATAAAACAAAATAATTTCTACTTTGTCAAATATTATCCTTTTTATTTGTTCTAAAAACAGTAGGCTAAAATCCAGCAGGAAATAGTAAAAATATCACAAGTGTAACATACAAAACTTCACAATAATAAAAAAAAATCACGTATCAAAATCTACAAGGTCTGGAGGAAACACAGCCAAGTATTTTCTAATTCTGAAAACAGGTCGAGTGCATTCATGGAAGCAGTCCCTTTAAATAACAGTAAGCATAAGAAATAGATGTGCAAGCGGGCAGTCTTTTAAGCTCTAAGAATAAACAGAATGTGTTTTCTATCAGAATTGTTGGAATCATTCAAACACCAATCTCCAAACTCCTCTTTGAGTCTAACATTGAAGCTCAGATTAATATATGTGGAGCAACAAGGACACCTTGAGGCAAGTAAGAAAAATACAAAAATTTGTATTCCACATTGGTATGGGAAGATTTACAGATTCTCTGTAAGTCTGAATTCCTTGGAATTGCCACATGATGTAAATCATGAACTCTTAAAACTGTTTGGCAAAGTCCCACAAGTCCCAAAGAATATTATGAAAGCAGTGCTCAGTCAGCACTCACAAAATGCTAGAATATATCCTTACCAGTTACATTAATTTACTTGCTAATGGTTTTAAAGACAGACCTGTTTTTGCAACACACCGATCTTCTTGTTCCGAGTTGCTCTTCTCCTTGCTACAGAAGTAAAAAAATTTCCTTCCTACTGCTCAGCATTGTATTACACTGTACATATTTGTTAAAGAAAAAGTATAAAAATACTGAAAAGGTTTCTGAAGAAGTATTAAACGCAAATCTACATAAAAACTAAACTTTCACAGTTGTTACTCTACAAGTTTCAAGTATCCCTTTAAATTTGTACCTTTGAAAAATGTTTTCCAAAAGAAATGGTGAGAAGAGGAAGAAATCTTTTACTTCTTATTTTAAGATTTTTTTGCACATGAAAAGCAATTTATTTATTTTTTTCTTTAATAGCCTCTAAGTTAGAACTGGAGTTGTGGGGCCGTTTGTAGAGCTTTCTGTTCCCTTAGTGCTATCTGCAGCCTTAGAATCATCACGTACTTCAGAAGGCTCATTTTCCTCTGGCGTTGGTGGGGTAAGGTCAATAGTGATCAAATCAGTTTCCTGATCTGGTTTTTCTACTTCACTGCAAAATTCAACTTTGTCTTCCTGCTGGCTGTTCTTCTTTATTTGTCCATTCTGTGCAGGGTAGGTACTGGCAATGGTGTCATAGAGAAATTGGTAATGTTCCTTAAATATAAAGAGAAGAAGTTAGTATGAATGGAATGCTCGGAGCGCAAGAATAAACCCATTCTTTCTCTGTTTTCTTAAATATTAGAAATGTAACATGTAGTTGAACATGCAAGACTGCAAATGAAGCAACTTCCATAGTTTTGGGGGTCAAGAGTGTTTCTTCTCTGATTTCATGTGTATGTAATGTCTCTGTAACTGCCTGCTTCAGACACTTCCAGTTGAATCACTCAGTACCCTCTTGGTTCACAAAGTCCCAAATATATGGTTTTTAGAGTACCTAAGTTATAAACAACACATACTGTAAGGAGTCTAGGAAAGTCATCAAATAACCTACCCCATATCAATGACACCTAGGTCTAGTTTGTTAGTAAATGCATAATGTATGCCACAGAGAAACAATTCCTCTGGCATGATTTAAACAAAACAAGTTGATGGCTGCTAGCCTGTGAAATGGAGTTAGCCTCCTAACTCTGCAGAAGTTAAGGGACACTCTGCACGTACATCCCTGAAGCATCTGCAGAAACAAATTTATGCAATTTATAATTTTATAATATGCACCTTTCCACAAAGAGAGAGAATTAGAGAGGCAACAGAATTGCAGCTCTGGACATCTCACAAACTCTTTCATTCTTATCAGTAACGGCCAATTCCCAACTAGTGGTGAGCAGCTGTGGCTGTCCTGATTAGAATTAGTGTTCCCTGTGCAGAATTTATGCATGAGGTTACAGGGATATTAGTGACCATGACAAGTAATCTCACTTTTTTTTCTGGTAATTCTTAAGATTTACTTACAAATGTGGAGACCACTCCCAGCCTAGTGCGACGAAGAGCTTTTACTACTTGGAAAACATCTACTACTTCTTCTGTTTCTGCACTTTCCAAGAGGGTCATTAAAGCACAAAATACACCAGTTTGCTGTGATCCGTCACTAGAAGATGATGTAAAATGTACACGTAAATTTAAAATGAAAAATCAGCAGATCCTCTGATTAAATGTTAGATTTATTTCAAAGTCTACATAATTAATTACATTTATAAAACATTTTTTCCTGGGCTGAAATTGTCATAATTAATACTACCTGTAGTACACACACAAGACATAGTTTATCTAGAGGCTACCTGGATCTCACATGGTCATTTAAGGGGTAAGAGAGAAATTAGAAGCTTCAGACTTACAGTCTCAACAATTGTTAGCAGGATTATCCTCTTGTTTAGATGGTATGCAAGGCTATTCCTGGAAATGGTCCTAAGAAAGTGGGTTTACGTATTGGAGTGAGAGATTAACCTAAAAGCTCTTCTGGACCTTCATAAGTAGTACGCCACAAAAGCACTCTGACCTAGCATTTCTTCTCAAAATATGTGTACCAGGCAAGAGCAGCTAGCTCTGACCACCTACTCCACACCCACACTTGCCAAAGAGAAGTGTGCTCACTTTTCAGTATTACAATCAAAAATGTCAAGCTTGAGCAATTTGAGGAATCTTCTAGGAAGAGCTGAGTCTCCAGACACATGGAAAGGCTTGTGGAAAAATGTAGGCACCCCAAAATTGTGGTTGCTACATATATCCAGAACGTAGAGCTAGGTTAAGGTATGTGCTGAATTCAGACCCACCGGCAGTGGATGACAAGCGGGACACTGCGGCTTCTCCTGTTGTCCTCAGTGACTGGTCTGGCTGGGACTTTTTGTTTGAGGTTGAGAATCATGCTGACTAAATCTTTGGCGTCTTCTGGAACATCCAAGCCACCCCACTTGTGATACTGATACTGATACACCTTCTGTGTTTCTTTTGTCTGAAAAACAGCAGAGGAGATGGGGTCAATGTTCAGGTTAAAACAAAGATTCACATCATACTTCTATTGCAGCTGATTTACAAAAGAAAAATCATATTCCTGAGGAACTGCATGGTAATATGACTTCTACCTTATGAATATGAGGTAGGTAGACATCCAAACTTTGCCCAAAGTACAAAAGAGAGCTGAGAACAAACCTCAGACTTCACTACCACCATCTCAGCAATTCACTAAATGGGAAACTTAAGCTAATTTATAGCATTTATTGTGATTAGCTGCTGGTCTTGAAGAGAAAAATATTTCCATTTCTTAGAGCAGGGGGTAAGTGCAGTGGGTGCTGTCCCTTCTTTTTAGATAGGCTACGTTTATAACAGGGAAATTAATTTAAAACTTCCTTTTAGAACCTGCAAAGGAACTTTTACCTTCAGATGCGTAACATCAAATGCACGTATGGTATAGCTAGGAGAAGAGTTGACATCCGTTATTTGGACTTCTATGCCATCATAGATTCGTTTTCCTTCACCCCAGTACTGTGCACAGAGTTCCTAAAATGGACAAAAGTGCAAGTCAACGCTGACCATTCAAACCTCCTTTTATCTTCCACATGCATTTACTGAATGTATTGACTTTAAAGTAGTAGGAGCGTCATCATATTTTTTAAAAAATGGCATCGTACACTCTTCCCCTCAAAAATTCATTAGAAAGTAAATTACAAGGTAAATAATAGAACAAATTGCATTGGAAATCCAAATTCCTCATCCTATGAAACACAGTTAACCAGAAGAAGGGAATGACAGAGTGCAGTGCAGTGTTTTCTTCACATATAGAGGACCCTTAATATGTCAGTGTGAAAACCATGCCCTCACCTGATCTCCCTCTTTCAGCTCTGTCAGCATAACAATGACTTTGACTTTTCTTTGGAAGACCATTTTCCAGAAGTCAGAAATAGTTTCCTGCAGTGGTCCCTGTGTTGCAATCATGGCTTTCGGACCCCAGTAACCCTATAAAAGAAATTTTAAATATTTTTTTTTCTTAAATTCATTTAAAATGTGATTGTCAAGCAACAGAACTCATTGTTATTTAAAGACTACCCAGTAAAATAAACTAATGAGCCTTTTGTTTATAGGGAATATATGCCTATCACAGTAGGCAATGGTTTGACAGGAATTCTACAAGCCACAGGACATTAAACTCAGAACTCCTAACAACAGTATCACTTTCACATTGACAACAAGGTATATTCATGCTGCAGTGGGTGAGACCTCACCCCACCATTTTTTGCAAAGCATGTTTTCAAGGGCTAAAACATTTAATTCTACATAGCTGTTTAATGTGACCACTAAGAAATTGAGTTTATACCACACAAAGTTAGTGCACTACTCAGTTCACACAGAGCTACAAAAAAGTAAAAATACATTTACTTTGAATAAATATCCTAACTGTGCAGCATTTTAAAATTCAGATAAATTGCTTTTAGCTAGTAATTCCATTAAAATCAGTTACTTCATTAGTGACTGATAATGGCTCTCTCCTTTTGGAGGTACCTATGATTCCAAAAAACTGATGGCTCCAGTACTCACTAGTAGGATTTTGTATATGTGAATAGCTACACTCACATTTCACTAACAGGGAAAATATTAATATGGATCAACTCATATGTAGGCAGATGCCCACTAATAGAAATACTTGTTATCACAAGGCCAATCTGAAAGCCAGGGGTTTTAAACACAACGCGCGTGTGCACACACACACAAAAATGTTTTTTTCTGTTTAATCTCACTATTTGAGATTGCACAGTCTAACACCATGTAAGGGAAAAAGATTCTTCTTATTACTGCAGCAAAACATAGAAGACTATAAAACTATAAAAGTATTTCCCAATCAACTGTCAGATCTTTCTCCCTTATTCAGGTAAATGTAGGTGTTCAAGAAAAGTGTAGATGTAGCAATCAGGGATATGGTTTAGTGGGCATGGTGGTGATGAGTTGACAGTTGGACTGGATGATCTTAGAGGTCTTTGCCAACCTTAATGATTATGTGATTCTGTGAAATCCTATTCTATTTGTGAAGCCAGTAAGAGAACAAGAGCTCAAGCTAGAACATAGTTTTAGATGAAAGCTTGTTAAATTCTTATAGCAGATCCTCTAAATACATACAGTTATGAAGGAAGCATTGATGTATTTGCTTGATTCCTCGCAGTCGCTGTCCTCATCTGAGGAATCATCTGAATCACGTTCACCCTCCTTACTGCTTTCATCTTCAAGCCTGATCGGCACCCGGTTAAAGTCATCTGCATGAGACAGTGTCACCATCATTCCACGCTATTGCTCAGGTATAGCACTAGAGGGGAGCTGTCCCTCAAATGCAGGGGAGAAAATAGATAGAAAAGGGACAATCCTTTCACAACAGACTGCAGAACAAAGGCTACTTTATTTGAAATAAACTCAAACACTCCCACTAAGTCACATTTTTAAAAACTAATCTCTTCTTTTTTAAAGCACTATGAGAAGTTTCTAATTTTACAGCGTTGAGAAAATTAATCAATGAAATATATCTCAGTAATTTACCATCCTCATTTTTTTCAAAATTTCAGAGGTTTTCTTACAGAAGATAACAGATAAAATAAGGGAAGTTCATGGAAAATACTTACATGGAATTATGTTGGCATTCCTATTTTTGCTCTTATTTTCCTCACGATTCCCAGTGTTCTGTGTCCGCCATCCCTTATAGGAAGGTAATCTCTAAAGAAAGAGTATGCTTGGTATTGTGCTTAATTAAAAGTGTTCCCGGGATCATTGTCCCCTCTGGACACCCACACCCAGTCTTCATCTCCCAGTCCCTCACTTCTTACTTAAATTCTTTAAACTTCGGGCATATCTGGACTATAGTTTAAAAATGCCTGCTATACCATGTACAACGGCACAGGAAATCATGCACATAGACACAAGTAATCATTCTGTGCTCCCCATCTTTGTTAAAAATATTAACATCAAAAGCAGGAATAAAATTTCATTAATTTACAGCTTTTTTTCATGAAAGTAAAGAAACTGTTTTTGTGCCAGAGAAATAAAATAGCACAGAAGTGATCCAATATGTATGGTATCTCCATCTTATGACTATCATGAAAGGCATTTTCTAATGTAAGTGGGAGGTAAGGGATTAGAATCCAATGGTTATTTACCTGAAACTCTGCTTCCAGCAAAGAAGGATCACTTGGAGGATCTTTTCTTTTCAGATTGTTAAGATAGGAATGCAATTCTGAGAGACTGACCTCTGTTTCTCCATACTGATTGTATTCCACTAGTGCTTGATGGATAAGGATGTACTGTGACTGATGTATCCCATTTGAAGGATTTAAAAATGATGTTATTAAAGAGGAAAAAAAAAAAATAAAAATATAACTTTTAAAAACCATTATAAGAAACTACTACTCCCATGATGTTATTAGTGTTAATATTATTAAGCATTAACATTAAATATGCATTAAATACAAGTATTAAAAATCAGAGTTGCTTCTAAATTAGACATTTTGGAGCACATTTAGTGTGCTGGATGAAAAATGTTCTGCAAATAAATGTGATGTCATTCGAGAACTATACAATTGAGATTTGAAAAATCTGCAAAATGCTTAAATAAATTAAAAATATGCATTGCATCAGTCCATAACTTTTGTTGTACTCTCAACCCAACTCAAAATCCCACCTAGACAGACAGTTTTTAGAATCTGAAAAATAAATTTGACTATGCAAACTCAATTTTGTATTTGTGAATTGTATGCCAAAAGCTGGATTATCAATTCTAAAATGTTCTTCTTGGCTTCTTTTTTTAAAGCCTAAACTTAAAAAGTTGAAGTCCCTAAAACTCAAATACTATTTTGGAAGATTTTCTCTCTTAATATTTTTCAGAGCTGTATTTTCTATGAACTTCAACAGAACTATAGCAGCACCCAAGACTGAGCAGCACACTTCTGAGAAATACTGATGAAACCCTAGCAAAGGAGAGTTCTAAGTGACAAGAGTTTTAGTGAGGTACCTCCACTTGAACCATAAGGCACCGCTGTCGACGCAGCTTCACAACATAGCCATAAACATCCACCCTGCCTTCTGCATCCAGCCCCTCCAGCATGGCATCAATTCCTATATATGTCCCAGTGCGCCCAACACCAGCACTGCAAAGCACAAAGGGATTTGGTTACCGAGGAGGAATGGCATCTCCCAGTCCTACTCTGAGAGGGGAGCAGTCAGTGAGAGAGCAAAAGTGAAAGTGTTTAGCAACGGGATATGAAGCAGCTGTAAATTAATTGGCAACACAAATAATTAGGAGTTTGTATTTTAAATATCTTTTAATGAAAGTAAGGCAACTATTGCCAAATGTGGTGCTTATAGCCAGAATAGCCCAACATTTATCCAAAATGCTTTCCAAAAGTCTATGTATCCTCAGATTTTATTGACCTGAATATTCTTCAGAAAACAAGCCTTTTTATGCATCTTTGTACGCTTCACTCTCAAGTAATCAAGTCACAAAATTTGGGATCAGCCAAATAACTTTGATAGCTCCCTTTTCTGAATAGCTTCACTTCATGTTCATTTAACATCAACATATTTTTTTAAAAATAATATATATTTACCTGCAATGAACCACTATTGGGCCACTAAAAAAGTTGCTGAGAGCATTAACTCTGCGTCGGAGTTTGAGAAGGAGATGTGGATCCTCAGGGACTCCATGGTCTGGCCAGCTTGTGAACTGAATATGAGTGACATCTCTTCCAGATGTCCTTTCTCTTCCCTAGAAAAAGT